TATATATATATATATATATATATATATATATATATATATATTTGAGTTTATATATCAAACATTTTTTTTATCATAAATAGCATGTATCAAAAATTTAACAATAAAGAATTTCTAACTAATTTAGTATTTTCTTAAACATTTAAAAAAAAATGGATTCATCACTCGTAATAAGAACGTATTAAAAATCTATCTTCAAGTGTATGGAATGCTAAATATATCAACCAATAAGTTGAATCTATTTTGTCATTCTAACGAAGAATATTCATAAAATTTTGGAACTTAAATTTAAATAAGATGTTTAAACATGACAAACTTGAAATTAATGATTTCATGTTAGCTGAATGTTGGTAAAAGGGAACTATCCTCTCCGATAACATTTTTGTTAAATTAAATGCTATTCTTACCCTTAGAAAGTTTTTTTACTAAATATGTTTTTATATGAAGTGGAGGTTTTACAAAGTTAATGGTGAATCAAACTTGAACAATCTCATTTTCTTCATGAAATGAAAATGTGTAAATATGGTTACATGATAACAAATTTATAAGCATGAAATATATATTACCTAATCCAATTGTCATTCATAATAAACAATAAAAATTATTCGAAGTAATATTAGAGAAATAGTTAAATACTTGAAGTGAAAATTAAAGTGATTACAAAAATTATAAACATTATACAGTGTACTTCACGTAACAGTATTTAGAAAGATTAGTTATAAAATTTTTTTACAATAAAAATATCATATTATTTTGTGATTGGTTGAAAATCATTTCAAAATTAATCATAATAATTATAAATAATAATTATAAACACTAGTTTAAAAATACGTGAATTATATTAAAATATTATAAAAAAAAATTATGAAAATATATTATCCAATTTAAAATGGTTTCTTGCAACTCACCTATACTTCATCAATAAATTATATACTGTCGCACTCACGTGCATTATTAATGCATGCTATTTTCACCCACAAATTTTATCACTATTATTAAAAATATATAATCATCAATGTCAAATAGCTGGAACTGGAAATTTCAGAATTTCATTATTAAATATAGGGTATAATCAGTAATAAATAAATACTTACTTTATCTAAATAAATTATTGTATCTGTCAGTGTTATAGTTAAGGAGTTTGAGTTTAGAAATATTCAAATAAAGTCAACTGTACAGCAATATTATCTATTTGATATCTCTTCCAAAGAATTTAGTAGGACGAATTAATTATATCTTAATACAGATGTGTTTATAATATTTTAATACTCGCTTTTATTAAGTTTAATAAATAAATAATAAATCAATAAAAAATAATATATGTTATGTTAAAATATTATTAAATGAAAAAATAATACATATACTGTATCATAATGTTATAAAAAATCTGTGCCAAAATATTTTTTCTTTTCATTAAAGATTGAGGTGATTTTTATTTTATTTTACATAAGTATTGCTTGGAGTCTTTATGTTTTTATAATTAAAGATTGATTTCTTTAAAATATAGAAATCGTTGAAGTGAATTTTACCTTTTTCTTTTTACTTTTAAGAACTTGTTATTATTTATTAGCGTGACTGAACAATAGTACAGTTTACAAGTTTGTTATTAGTATTTAAGACGACTAAATAATGGTACAAATTTCAAGTCGTTTGGAGAAAAAACTTTCAAATTCTACCACGAAAATAAAATGCTTTTACAGTTAGTATTAATTAATCTTTATTACTCATGTTTTAGTTCATCTTTATGCACTTGTTCGGAGTGGTAAAATTGATAAATGTAGTAAATTCTGATCTAATAATTAGTCATCCATATACTCAAACTGAGTCAGAATGCATCTATTCATTAATTATTTATTAATTATGAACGAGTTGGGTATTTCTCAATACATCTTTAGCCATCAACATAAATTTTCTAAGATTTAAAAAATCAGTTTTCAAAGTTAGGTACTATATATTTGTTCTCTCTTAACTTAGACATCATTAGTTCATTAAACAAATGTATTAATGTTGTTTATAATTTGTTGTATAGATTGTCTAGTGATTAGCGTGTATCGCCCTTTGTTTGTGTAGATCGAAAACTTCTATTAAGGTATAGATCACTGACTAGTTTAGTTAAGTATATAAAAGGCATGAATTTATTGGAGTGATTAAGTAATTAATTATAACAAATATAAAGAAAATCTTGTTTCAATATTGAAGCTTGTTAACATTGTAATTGTTGAATTAAGGTGGTATTAATATGCAACTGTTGAGTCAGTCTGTTAGAGTGATGTTTAAGGCGTTAATTAAGAAATGAGTGGATAAAAAATATTTAAAAAGGAGTGAGGATAATAAAAAACTTATTGTTGAGTTGATGTCTTTGACTTAGCTTTTAACTATTTTAGCTTTTATGAGTCTGGGCCTTTCTTCCTGTCTGGTCTTTGCAGATTAATGTCACACGCAAAGCAGTAACTGTTTCCTTTCAGAAACATAGACAAGAGTGAATGCATACTCAGAGTGTTGAGACCGATGGAAAATAGAGCCTAAGCATTCTTCAGCGACTGGTTTCTTTGTTGAGAGAGATTCATGATAATGACCCATAACTTCCATTTTCAGGGCCCCCCGTTTAAAAAGACTCGACCTTTATCACACACTATGTGTTTTCTGGTTGCAAGAAAGAGACTTTAAAATGGGGTTCTTCTTCAGATGATGGACTTTGTTTCTGCTTCAGATTTGGGTTCTTGAGAGAAAGTAACTGTCAACAGGATCTCATTGTTTGATACGGCCAACGTTATAATGGAGGTTCACAGAAGACGTTTCAAGGGAAGCTTTCTTAGCTTCTTTGACTGGAATGCTAAATATCAAAAGAAGCACCTTTCTCACGATCCTAAGTTGCCTGGTAATTATCGTCGGCCTCTTGTATATATGTATTTATTGTTCTTATTTGTTGCACTTCTGTCTTGCTTGCTTTGTTCAAATGTTGTGTACCTTTTTCAATCATTAGTTATTGTATGGGAGTGAAGTGAGTCTGATTGGCCTGTTCTAAACATTTATGCTGCATGTACTGTAGAAATTTCAAAGCAAGGAAAGGAAAACGTGGACAATTTGCCAAAGTCAGAGGTCAATGAGGTGTGAATTTGTTCAGCCTTTCACAATCCCAGAGTTATTTGTAACTTTTCTGTTCTTGTTTTTTCTGCCCTTCTTTCATGATACGGTTTATTTTTTGTTGGTTGTTGCAATTGTTTCAGATGAAAATGAATGACAATGGAGCAAATCCTGCAAGTTCTGATTTTGATTGTGCCATATCAATTAGTAGTGATGAAGGGTGTCAGACTAAAGCCCCTGGGTTACTAGCCAGACTCATGGGTTTGGATTCACTGCCAGTTTCAAATGTCTCTGAGCTATCTTCATTATCCACTTCCTTATATGGCTCCAACTCTCTTGAATCTTCTCGTACTCCTGATGAGGATGTTCTTCTCTCAACGGTTGACCATTGTTGTAATGTTGATTCGATAAACATGGGACTTAAGTCGGTGAAGTCTTCTTGGAGTGTCATGGAATCAAAAGAGAGAAATCCGGCCATGAAAAGATTTCAGACTGAAATGCTGCCTCCAAGGTCTGCCAAAACCATTCCAGTTACTCACGACAAACTTTTGTCTCAACCTAAGCATGCAGCTCAAATTATGGAGGCAGCTGCCAAAATAATTGAGGTAAGTCCCCAGCCATGTAAGAGGAACAGAATGTCTTCAACTGGACCTTCATCTGTACCCTTAAGAATTCTTGAACTCAAAGAGAAATTGGAAGCTTCCCAACATGAATCCAAGTTCACAGGTAAGCACACTGCTAACCCTCTGAATGGCAAGCCTAGTGAGAGGAGAAATAGTTTATGTAAATCTACTCCAAGTTCAACAGGTTCAAGAGATTCAGAAAAAAACAGTTCTTGCCGGTTGCCAAGCAAAAGAAAATCTGCTTCACTTGCAATTCCATCTAGAACCAATGTTCAGAACTGTGATGAATTGACTTTGAATGGTAATAGGGGATGTGTGAAGCAGAAGGAACATAATGATATCAAATCAAACCAGTTGTCTCGGAGCCAGAAGAAACGAAGTACAGACCGAGCCAGAGTCATTCAGCAGAAAGCTTGTAATGGCCAGAATAGTAATGTGCTTGGGAAGAATAACCAAAAACTGTGTAGTGAAACCACCAAAAGTAACCCGACTTCCAAGGCATACTCGCATAAACCAACACAAAATTGGTCTTCAGAAAGTTCTACTAGAGCAAAGAAGACCACAAAAAGGGGTGTTGTAAAAGCCAACACTGAGCCCAAAGGGTCAGACACAAGGGTAATAGGTGCTACCAAACCAGTTTCCAAAAGAAAGAGCATTTCCCAAAAGAAAAACTATATGAATAGGGATGTTCACAATGAGGCAAGAGGCACTGATACTGCGGCTAATAATTATGAAAACAAGTCTATAAAATGCAATATTACAACTGACGGAAGTATTAACCAGGATGCATTTAGTATGAAAGGAAGCAATGGTGTGATTTCATTTATATTTACATCTCCTTTGAGAAGAAAAAGTCCTGAGTTACAGTCCTCCATTGAGAAAATGGTGGAAACAAGGAACAAAACTGATGTCAATTCTTGTAGCAATAATGATATGCTCAATCCCAGAAAATCATCATTATCTCCTCCCAGGTTACATGTTATAGATGGTGAGGCTTTAAGTGTCCTTTTGGAGAGAAAGCTGCAAGAATTGACATCTAGAATTAACCCAACTCAATGCTCTGTGATGAAAGAATGGTCTTCTGCTGGTTTGGAAGACAGAAGTTTTCACCCCAACCTGGTTAGTAATAAATTGGACAGCAGGCATGACAATTGTTTGTCAAGTGATAGCATGGTGCTTAGTATGAATCAGCAACCACAGGTCTCTCTTTCATTTCTTTTATACTGTCAGTTTCATCCATTATGGATTTTTTATTTTTTTGCAATTTTGAATTGTAAAAATATTAGTATGTTATCCTCGGTAACTACCTGACATCAATTGTCAAAGGGGATATATTTTAGGGTTTTGGTAGGGAAGGAGGATGGTATGGGGATTTGTCTGATACGATCTGCATACTATTAAGTCATTCATTTCAAATTTAATTAAATATTTGATATTTTTTGAAGTTTGAACTGAAAAGAACCGTATAGCAATCAATTACTCCTCCATTGTGCAGACATCAGAATCAATAGAAGGGCCTAGCTGCAGCAGCAACAGCGAAAGCAGAAATGAAAGTTACTTAGATAGTGCATATGGTAATGCCTTAGTATTTATTTTTTTTGCACTTCCTTGAGCTTATTTTTTATCCAAATCTAAAAGAAAAACCAGTAGCTTCGCTTTCTTATAGATTTATAATTGAATACTGCATCAAGTTTATGAATATTCAAGCAGGGAGAGGAGTTATTAGAACAGTCACTGAGCTAGATGTGGCAATGAAACTATGCAGACGTTGCAGAAAATTCTAAATAACTGTCCAATTTTGCTTTACAATGGAATCTTTATTGCAGTTTCAATTGAATGTCTAACATCCAGCTCGCCATGCATGTACTATGAAGATAATTCATCAAATTTAGGTCATGAAAAAATAACTGTTAGAAACTTTCTGGGTTCCTAAGCACAATTGCAAAGGCTCATAAAATATTAACACCCATCCATATTTACTCTCTTTTTAGGCAGCACAGTTTATTCTTCCATGCAAGATGAAGAGGTATCTGATTTTTCTCCAATGAATGAATCTCTGAGGTCTGAGCAAAGCTCTTGCATA